GCAGGTGTGGCTCTTATTTGATTTTTGTTTGACATTTCCCCCTGCGCTTTGAGAAAGGGCGCTTGGCTTGTATTTCCTTAGCGCTCTTGTGCTCTCTGCACATACTAACCAACGAAAGAAGTAAACATTCAGAAGTAGAGAAGCCTAGCTTCAACTATGCTAGTTATCTTCTCTTCCTCGAGATAATGTAATGATATGACTACATTTGCAGACCCCACTGTATGGACTGATCCAGGAATAGGTGAGTGACACAGAAGACGAAAGAAAAGGGAAGGACACTGCGATCCATCCGAGCCGCACGACTCGACGCCAGACTATTGTTCGTTGTATTCAGTCCAATAGATGACTATAGATGCGGGCGTCGGTGCCTAGTGATCGATCATCGTTGGGTTCCGGAATGGAAGATGGGGGCCTGATTGGATCGGAGAGAACCCAGCGGCGTGTTGGGCTGCATACGCAGGCGTTGTTGATCTTGGGCGTCCTGTCGAACAATATGACAGGTGCGTACGGAGTGCATACAATGCAGTCATTGATGGTTGTGGAGGCGGTGTAAGTTGAAATAACCTGGAAGAGGAAAGAGACGACTTGAGCCTGAGATGCGTTTGTAAGGAGTACAGTGTGTGGCGCGTAAATTGGACGGGTGCTTGCTTTTTGCCTGCAGGGGCTTGTCGCATGGTCTTCGTCCCAGAAGGATAGGTGCATTTGTTAGAGCCAACATGAGAACAAACGAATTCCTCGCCCCTGTACACTTCGCGAACGCCATTTTGGTCTCAACGGACTAGGTTCTAGTCCCAGGCCTTGCGAGGGATATGCAAATCCCGAGCCATCAAGAGATTTTCCTATGCCGGTGCAGCAGACGAATTGTTCACCCGAGGCCTTTCAGCCTCCTGCATTGAGTTGGTCGACGCGCGTGGGCGCGATGGCAAGGACATATTCTGTGCGGGTGGTGCAGGGGCTGCTTCGAGCTGCTTCCAGGGCTCTTCCTCGCCCTCGTCCTCGTCGTCGCTGGAGGACTCGTCGCCTCGGCGGCCGTGGCGTTGATGCTCATCTCTGGACTTGCGTCTCTCGCGCAGCTGTTCCTTGTGTCGGGTATCTATGCAATAATGGTGAGTATTCTACTTCAAATGTGATTTCAGGATATACACAGCAGCGTAACTTACCTCTGATCTCCTGTGTCTTCACAGCATACAGCTGGATCTCCTCCTTGCTCAAAACCCTCAACACGATCACATAATCCGACCGCTCCTCGAACCGCTCATTGCCCATCTGTAATGCCTCGGGATTCACGAGCCGTCGGTCGATCTTCGTCCAGCGAGCTCCTGGCGGGATCCCCTGCTTGTGAGCATCTTTGAGGGGAGCGACCCCCTCCCTCACCGGATTGGGTTCCTCTGGGAATGCCGGGCGCGGAGGCTTGAGAATTCCTTTGGGAGGACCCTCTGGCTCCTTTGGAGCAGGTGGATCAACAGCAATAAGTCTTCTGGGGTCATCTTTGGCCATGTGCTCGTTGCCATTCTCCAACGTGCGGCGGGAGCGAGAGCGGTGCCCACGGGAGTGGTCTCGGTCTCTATGGCGCGAGCGGTCCCGACTGCGGTCGCGGTCGCGGTCGCTTTCGGTGTCGGTGCTGCTGTGCGTGCGACGTGCGGGCTCACGCCTGTAGTTTTGCAGGTCTTCGTCCGATGTCCCGGCGTCATTGCTGTGCGCCCGCCGCCTGGAGGATCGCCGCGATCGACCGTGGCGATGGGCATCGGCAGGATCCAGGTAGGCTTGCTTGGTTCTTTCATCGGCTGGAACTGCTGCTACCAGCTCCCGCGATGGGGGCTGGACGGCATCATGGCCACCGTGCGAGCGTCTGTGCTTCCGCCGCGACGAACGATGCGGTTCGAAGTCCGACATGTCGGAGTATCCGCCTCCTAAGGCCGCTGTTCCAAGTCCTACATTGGCGACCGTGCCGGCATCATGTGGCTTGAGATGGTGGTCTTCTGGATAGTGGTGCTCCCGATCGTTCACGTGGCGTGCTCTGTGGGCACGACGGCGCCGCTCCTCGTGACGAGAGGGGTATTCGCTATCGGAGTCTTGAGGCACGGCGACCAGGGCTTGATCATGAAATCCATCCTTCGATCTGTGCGGGTCCCGATTATCCTTGCCGTGTGTTGAGCTTCGCGGCCGTTCACGCCCGAGCTTGTCAAGGCCCCAGGATGTCGGGGGTGGGCCACGGTGACGGTCTTTCCGCGATTTCCCCTGAGGGCTTTCTTCCACGCCAGTGTAACTGAGCGGCCGATCGGGCGAGTATCTCGGCCCGCGATGACGGGGCTTGACCGGGTAGTCCCGGTCGAATTGCTCACGAGCGTTGGTGTATGAATAGGCATCAAAGTCATCGATGTCATCACCTTTCCTCAGCCCATCGTACGCTGGCTGGCGTACTGCACGAGGCGGATGGACACGGTGTTGATGGGCACTATGATCAGTCCTAGGTCTGGGATCATTCCGTAGATCCATATAGCCCGTGTCGCTCGCATAGTCGGTGCTATAGATCCGGCGATGTGCGGGATTCCGAGGGGAAGCCGAGACTATGTGATGACCGGAATCTGTAGCCAGAGGACTCGGGCTACGGCGCTGAATTGAGTGGCGCACCGGCGAGATATGTTGAACGGATGTGGAAGGTACAGCCAGACGAACTGGTGTATGGTAGTCCGCTGTCGTTGCTGTATTGCTTCTGTGCCTGGTGCGGGGTTGGATGCTGTATTCGGTACGTTTTTTGGCGGACGCACTCGGGTCAAGAACTCGCTGGGAGGATATTTGGTAAGCTTCGAGTTTCGATGGTCGCCCTGACCGGTACCCAAAAGCACTGGAGTATCCAGTATCGGACGGGTAGTCGTAGTCAGAGCGCCTGGGTGCATCATAAGGGTCGTAGGAGGAGTTTAGTTCTACCATTCCGGTTGACGCTCTCATGGGTTCAATCAGGGAGTGTCGGCCTCGGCTGGGAGATAGATTCCGGTAGCGACTCGACATTTCGATATGTAACTGTAGATGCAATGGGTGCAGATGATAACGCTTGGCCGGTTGAAATCAGGTGTGACGGTCTGTTCTCTGGTCGGCTTCGGGAGATTCTGAGTATTTAAACAATCTGAGTCGGGCTATGTAGAAATGCCCAACTGGTTGGCTCGGAGGTGAAGATTCGATACAAAGTCGAGAAAATCGGGGCCGAACTTGACACGAAGCCTGGAGCCCAATAGTTGCCCAACTGAACAATCAAAGAGGGGATTCAGAAGTGTGTTAAAGCGAAAGGTGTGAACAATGACGCAAAAGTGGGTTGGGGATCCACAGGTTGAACAAAAGGTTAGTAATAATAACGCCAAGGCTTTTTCCCGGGCTGAGTGGGCGAGGAAGGAAGTTGCCCAGGTGGACTCTGGAGATGAAAGAGAAGGCAAATGTAAAATAAGAATAATATAAGAATATGTATATAAATCTGATTCCATGGATCTAGAGGCGTGAACCTTGGGAACTCGAAGCTGTCAACCATGGATGCCATGGATGCCATGGATGCCATGTGTTGTTCCCGCTCTTTAACTATGAAACTCCCTTGCTTCATATGCAAAACACAACCCCGACAGGCGGAAAGAATGCTCTCTTTCATTTCTGTTTCGGGCAAAACCTGAGACATGTGTGAGTTTGAGAAATGGGGTCCACAGGTGCTTTGTGATCTCACTTGAGCCGCAAAGGGAAAGTTGTGAGTTATTTTGAAATCTCGAGGGGGAAACGTGGATATAAATCCCCTGGATTATGCTTTTTATACCTAACATTTGCTCCCAACTTAATTAATCTACAGTATAGAGGCTGTGCAATTGGCCGAATTGGCCGAATTGGCTCCATGGGAATGAGGTCATAGATGGAACCACCCTAATATCGATCGGTTTAGGCAACTCGAAAATGGCCTTGACTTGCTTAAACATCCAGGGCTTTGTCTGGACATGATATCCATTGCACTATCTTGACAAAGGCACGTATTTGGGATATGTCATCCACAATAATCAAAGCAACGAATAAGGGCTACTGAAAAGGGCGAACAGGCGAACCGAGCCCACTGAGCAGGGCGAATCCCCCATTCCGATTCACCCTCGTACCCGCAGGAACGAGAGCCAGAAGCCCCAACCGAGGCGCAGACTCCGCATAAGAAACCCACACGATGCAAATTGGGCTATGTACTACCATTCAAGGTCTAATAACCCAGCTTTTATAGTATAGACTCCACCCGGCCATCGAGTAATAGAAGCCCTATATCTACATATCCACCCGCGACCCGGGTCGTGCCCAGCCAGCATTGCGCCTAGCAACCCACAACCCGGGCACCGGGGCGTGATATTTTGCGTCGGGATCCGGGAATACCAGAGATCTACATGCTTTAGTCATGTGTTTACTGACTAACTTAGTTAGCCAACTAACTACTATGTAACTTATGACTGGGTACACACTGTATTCTGGAGAGGTTCGGGTCATGAGAGGTTGTAAGCGTGTTATCCTTCCACATCAAATATATGGGTGTGCCGCCATGCTGTTTCTCTCGCTCTGGCTGGTCCCGCTTTCGCTTCACTGCTGCTTAAACACTGCCGGCTGCTGTTTGCTGTGCCTCTTTGCCCGCTGGGTATTCTGTTCCCTATCTTGGGGTTTCGACTCTGTAGTTGTGGCTCTTTGGCTGTTTGACTCTGGTCTGTTCACCTCGGGTTTCGCGTGAGCTTCTATACCTGGGCCTTGGGTGCTGTAATGAGAGCCCTGATCATGGTGTCTGTGTGTGCGTTTTGCATTATAAGAGAGAGTCTTCCATGGCTGCTTCTCATACAATCAGACTCAATTGGCTTGATATACCTAAATCTATAGTTTCAATCCTTCAATCAACTTGTTCAAAAGCTTCAGAACCTCGCAAATCAAAACCCCATAGATCAAACTATCTCCTCTGCCAATCAATTCATCTATTCCACACTAAAGCCACTATATCTGCCCACGCCATGTCCAACGCTATGTCCAACAAATCCTCGAATACCGGGACCAACAGCGAAGGACAGAATTCAACTCCTTTTTCGCACGGCTGGTACTTCACCCGGCCTAACAATTCCTCTTATGCCGATTCCATGAGCAGTCCGCTGACATCTCACGCACACTCAACTCTGGCTCCGTTCCCGGATGCCATATCCGTTCTCACTCCCACACCCGAATGCCTGTCTACAGGCGCCCAAAGACTGGTGCCGGAATGGTGGACGTGCTGCAAGTGCCAGAATTTAGTCAATCCCAACCTGGCGCCAGAGAGGAAATGTCCTATTTGCTCCCATGTTGAATGCGACTTCTGTGGCACAGAGGTTGTTCCCTAGGGAGACAGATTGTGTGGGAGATAGAGATTTGCGGTTTTAGGGTTGCGTTTGCGTTTATTTCGTCTCTTTCTTCCTCTCTTTTTTCCGTTTCTTGCCTTTTCATTTTCTGTTTTCTGTTTCTGTTTGTTTATTGTCGCGGGACATTGTGGCATATTAGGCGATATACTGTAGACGATTGTCTCGTGCTGATCCTGGATAATGTTTGAACATTGTGTCGCTGATGTCAACAATCTGTCTGTCCAAACGGGACATACGAATACTAATGAGTGATGCAGGGTATAGAGACTTAGTTATTTGTTTGGAATCGGGGGATACCCTGGAATAACCAAATATATATATCCCATTTACCACACATAAAGCTGCCATATCATACATGCAGACTTTATATGTTCTCTCATTCCAATATTAGTGATCGATAAATGATCGATTATGAATAGTTATAAGTCAGGATTTGTTTACTAATATTGAGTAAAGATCACCGAGTTAAACGCTCCGAACGTGTTATTTTCGCTGAAAATCTTGGTTTATCTGCCATCTAATGGCTCACCTTTCTAGTATCAAGATGTCCATGACCTCGGGAGGCCTATACGTGATAGCGACGACATTTAGCCATACAGTTGCCCGGCAGGGGGCATCACCCTATCGGAATATAAATCATCCTAACACAGCCAGGCCGGCCAATAGTGCATCATTAATGGAGACACATTGCATTAATTATAAGGTATCCAAAACATGCACGAAGCACACTAAGCGCCCCGAACTATTGATCACTAGGAGATTGTTGCCGGTGGTTACGTCCTGGGTGTGGGGATTGCGGAACAGCCCCGGTTTCGGGCGGGGTTAGTCCAGCCTCAAGCCGCAAGCGGGTCACCACGGGACTCAGGGCAAAATAACTCTCCATGCTACTATGGTCAGCACACGGACTCTGCTTGATCGGCAGCAGCCAATCGACGATATTGTATCCCATGATCTGCTGGAGATTTTTCAATGAACTGCCTAGGTCGAAGGGATTCTGGCCCGGCAGAGTATGGAGGACGGCGAAGACGTGGCGTTCGCCCGGAGCCACGTCTTCGTCCGGAGAGGGGATTGTGGTTTGCGGCTGGGTTGGAGACGATGATGTTTGTAGTGGGTAGGAGACCATGCGGAATGTCGGGGCCCAGGGGGACTCGGCTGCCCAGAGTCGTTCGAGGAGGTATTCTGGGACACGGATGGCGAGGGTCCAGACGACGCTGCCCCGGTTTAGGTTTTCGATTGTTGTGATGTTGGCGACGCCCATTTGAACTGAGCTCAATGTCATACCGGCGGTGAAGAAGGCGAAAAGGCCGCTCCTGGTTTTTATCAGACTTGCTAAATTCCTAGTATCAAGTGGGTGGGCACTTACAGTCCAATACAGACACACCAATGAGGGTTTGCTCCTCCGGTCTGGTCGAAAGTCAGTAACAAGCGGAGAATTGATATGGCTCGTGGAAGTCTTACCTGGCGTCGGATCTCCGCTGTAAAATAAGCGGACACAATAAGAACAAAGGTACAAAATATGCTAGTATAAGCAACGAATTGAATGAAGAATTTGAGGGATGTCTCCGACACCACACCTCCAACCCTGCATTCTGTCAGCTGGATACTGATTTGCGGTATGTGCACAGGGATTATCATACCAAGGACAAAAGTGATCCATTTTGCGCACACAGCGACCTAACTCGCGGCAGTGGTGCGCCCTGTCTGTCTTGTACTGACAGCACGTAGTGCACCATAGGGGCCGGCCATCCTCCTGGCAGACGAAGACATCTTTAGTGTAGAAGCTCTCCAACCCAATATCTGACTGAACGGCGGTGCCTACAGCAGTGGAGTTTGAGCCCCTTTCCACATCCACGTCTGCCTGGTTTGTCTTCTCCGGATCGGCTTTGCGTGTGCCTTTCTTCCCACGGCGCTTCGATTGCTTTGTGCTTTCGTCATCCGCCAATTTTTGTTCACCGAGGGGAAGGTATCCGGGATTCCACAGGACTTGGTAATAGAGTCGCATATAAGAAACGACCATGGGAATTAAAAGGACGTAATAGATCGCGATGATCGCGGCGCCAGCGCCGACTCGTGGGCCTCGGTTATAGGAGGGTAAGGGATGGATTAGATAGTCGACTGGGGTTCATATTGTTAGTTTCCTGGTAAAAAAGCGACCAAATTCGCAAAAAACTCACTGGATAACGGTTTCGTGACCGCATAAGAAGCGTATATGACAGCGCCGAGTAACACAGGCGGAATGAGCCTGGATACCACGACGTTGACGCGCTTCTGCGCGGGAGACGCCATAAATACGGAGTCAATACAGCAATATGAAATGCATGAATTTAAGAATATCTAAATGACCTCGGTGGATTGCAAGGACGGATCGAGTTAGGGAAGTCGTTGAAGCAAACAGTGCAAACCTGACGTAATCGGAGCCCAGGCGCCCGGGTGTCCGTGTCCCTGGGGTCCCAAGGTTCGTTGCCCGTTCGGGGGTCCCATGGATCGGGGCATCGGGAGAACCTTGAAACATCCCCATATTGCCCTTTCACCAACGACCTCAGCTACCGTGTTGATACGGGAAATGTCGGGCCTACTATTGCTAATTCTGTAGATCTCAGCTGCGACCGTCAGATAGGGCCTGGTGAGCAATGTCAGATCACCTCATGCTCTAATCTCTTTTTAGATCTCGACGGTGCTACGGTTGTACTCGATATGACTCGATATAGTATCTAGGAAGGCACATGGCATGGAATTTCTACGGGCCCACGGGGTGAGAATTTAGATTAGAAATCAGCCTTCGGGTTTCACAGCATCTCGTAATCTGTTAATTGTAAGAAGTACCAAAAAATACCCTAAACGACAATGATGAAACTGATTTTTCTTCATATTCAGGCTGTCAGAAAGCCTGCGTAGGCAACACTGCGAAGGGCGCGACAACACCTGACTCGATGACTCTTCGTTTTGCTTTTCGAAGCAGCCGGTGCCTGGAAAACTAGGAGGGAGTGGAGTATATTGCACCTTGGAAACCAATTGATCAACAGCATTTACATACCAAGGCATCAATCCCAAAAGAGATCCGACCTGATGGTAGACCGTTAGTTCGGCGCACCCGAGGGACCAGAACCCGTTGACGCCCATACATTCTCGGGGTAAGCCAGGCCATTGGAGACGGTGTGGGCATTTGCTTAGCCTGGAATAGTGGGCCCGTTGACTCAAAAGACCTGTTCTTCAGATATGATTCATAGATTCCTCACATTCTAGGCGCAACTGTGGTGTCCTGGGCAATGACAGCCCCGGATTACACTAAGCCACACTCTCTTGGGCAACCCATCTTGCCGGATGATGTACAACTAAGGTCAACTTTGATCCATTGCCCCAATTACTGCCCGGGTAATGAATTTAGCTTAACCCGATGTGGATCTGGCAAGGCAGCCTGGGCTGTTGACTGTTCTAGGAACGCTGCCTTGCGCTTCTGGTTCTATTACATCTATTCTAATATTCTTGAGGTATATAGCTTTCACGATCCCCAGGCTTGAAATCCAATTCCATTTCAAACTCAATCAGCATCCAAGTATCAGTTCAGACACGGTTTCCCGCTCTACAACTATAAAGAACCGGACACTCTGCTTTCCACCCAGTCTTCCATTCTGTCTCAGACACCAATACAATCCATATTCATCCAGCCCATAACATCAATGGGGTTTTTGTGGTACTGCTGCGACTGCAAGTTTGGCCCTCACGATTCCGCCCTTTACATGGCCTGCATCGAGTGTGGAAAGCCCCGTTGCTCTCGCTGCATCTGTGACAAGGTCTCCAACAATATGAGCGTCCACTCGCACTCCCACGACTGCAATCCAGTCTCTGCATACCCAATTGCTGTTACCGTGCACTCTCCTCGCACACCAACATTGAAGACCACAGCCATGCCCATAGTCGTACCAGACCTCCCTGGTCTACGGCCTCTACGGCGTGCCGACTACACAGACCTCTCAACAACATCACTACCAGGAACGGGGTACAACAGTGCCACCTACATGTACATCTGCTGTGGATGCGGAGACGGGCCTAAAGTCTACAACCATCAGCCCCAGTGTGTTCAATGCAGCCACATTGCCTGCAGCGGGTGCAAGCGCATCAAGTGAGACTTTTTGAAACGCCATCTTGCGGGCCGAGACTGGGTACTACGAGTACAATGGTAAGTGACTCCGATGCTCACTCAGCGTTTCGGTGATTCTTGAAGCTGACGGCTCGGCATAGTGATTCCGAACTCTGTTGCTTTTTTTGGATGATTTTCTTTTTCCTTTCTGGAATGCTTTTATGCAAAGCGTGCAAAGCGGGTCATGGGTCATGGGCATATATCCTGGTGTAAATGCTTCTCTTTTTTTTTGTTTTGTTAGACTAGATTTTTGTATACTTGCGGGTTCCTGATTTGGGTTAGCGTGAGGCTAGCGGGGCTGGATTCTCCGCTGTTCTGCCTTGTCCATTTTCATTTTGATTTTGATTTTCACTCTCATCTCATTTTGATACAGCATCAATATCATCACTACATTTATTTTCTCCTTAGATGCCAAGGTGTAGAGTCATCGTGATCTTCACGGCGTGCAGCAACCCCCTGTTCTAAGCACGGCCTCGAATTATCCAGTTGCCATGGTTGGTTGAAATAATTTGCGGCTCAGCCGAAAATGGACCCCGATATGCTAAGTGATGTACTTTGTATGCATGTCAGGATGAACTAGTTTCTTTTCTTTTCTTGTTACCGCTCCTTGAGCCTGGCATCTGCAGCAAACAGCCCTATGGCTCATACTGAGAGAAGCGGTCTTGGTTCTCGGAGGCTAATACAAACGAGGTCTATTCCCCGTTGTTCTCTGCTTCCTTGGCCTTTGCACCTTTGTTACCCTTTTAGTCCTCACCTATTATTTAGGGCTTATGTCTCTACTCTGACACAGACTCAGCCCCCTATGGCATGCTCTATGATGTTATTCCCACTCTCCCCGTATCCA